GGGGTTTGAGCCCGCGTCTCGTGCTGGGAAATGGACTGCTGACGGCTTCTTATCCCATCGCCAGGTTACTGGTTCGGCATCGAACTCGACAAGCCCACGGGGAAACACGATGGCTCGGTCTTCGGGGTCCGGTATTTCAGCTGCTCCCCTAAACACGGAGTCTTTGCCCCACCTTCCAGGGTCCAGAGGTACGTTTCTCCTGGCTCTAGCTACGTGTGAGCGTGAGCGATCGCCTTTTGGTGGCTGACCCCACTGCTGCTACTTTAGCTCAAGGGTGGGAACCTGCGGTTTGTTGTGCCGGGTTCAAATCCCGCTCCCTGAGGGGCGCATGTATGTGTGAGTACAATTTCCTGAAGCTTCTGACAGCTCTGATTCTAATTGGCAAGGACGCGACAGCCTCCAAATCATCCTAACGAAGCCCCCTCGGGTGGCAGATATTCTCCCTGTAGAGCACCGGGACTCGTCTGAGGCAAATGTCACAGAAGTGGCTTCCCCCGGATTATCCGCCTCCCGTTTTGAAGAGGCTTTGGGATGGATCTCAGGCCTCGCCTGTGCGGAGGGTTCGCCCTGATCCCAGTCACCGGTATGCGAGCAGCCTTCCTTGTCTATCACCGGTGGTTGGAATCTGGGCAACGCCCTGGCGTCGGTAAGGTCCTGGCTGCTCCACACCTCCGTGAACAAGCCTCTCTTCTCTGCCTTTTCCCTGCCCCTCCCTTGCAGGATCGGCGGCCCCAAAGACTCCCAGGGAGATAGCAGTTCGGTGAAGAAGGTGCACCAAGTCACTAGTAGGTATACTCTGGATCCGCCTTTCCCTTCCCCCCAGCGACAGGAGGGACCAGGGGCCCACCCCACCTGTGACTCCACTGGCCTTGCACCAGGGGGTGACTTAACTAGTGAGGCCACGGGGACATCCAGTCTTCCCCAGCAATTCCATCTGTGCCCAAGTCATGGCCCCATGGAATCTCTCTTCAGTGCTTATGTGACCCCCGCTCCTCCCCCGGCACTGTCCTCTCCGAGCATCTCACAATCGTTAGGATGTGTTCAGCTTCACATCGTCCCTGGGAGGCAGGGCTGTTTAGCCCCCTTGCACAGATGGGGAAACTGAGGCACGGACTTGCTCAACGTCACGCGGGGAGTCTGTGGCGTAGCAGGTCGTGCTCCAACCCCTGCTCCACGCTCCCCTCATTCTGCCAGCGCCATTCCCCCCCCACACACTGCCCTCGTTGCAGCAGCAGCCCTCCCTTGCCTCAGCCCGTCACCCCCTCCCTGTTTTGAGCCGTAAGCCCCGTCATCTCTGCGATCCTTTACAACCACCATGCAGGGAATTGAATCCGGGCCGCCCACATCCCAGGTGAGCACCTTAACCACGAGGCCTGTGCCCCCGCCTGGGTTTGTCGCACTGTGATTCCACCTGGGTTTGTTAGAGGGTGTCGGTAGCCCCCGGGTACAGTACTCCATTTAAAGCGTCGGCGTTCTCCCTTCTCTCGCAGTGTCACAGCCAAAGCGCAACTTCACAGCAGTCAGGACCCCAAAAGACATCACGTCAGAAAACTCCATCTCTAGGTAAGATGGGGAAGGAGCTGGGGGCAGGTCGGGTGGGGTGACCAGAGCTCTCCCATCTTGGTTTGGGGTGGGAAGCAATCGCCACCCTGAGTCCCAGACACAGAAATGACCCTCCGCATACCCCCTTTTCCTGACACTCTCCAGGGTAAGTAACACGCACCTGAAAAGCAAGGGGGGAAATTCCCTGTAGCATCTCCTAGCGCTACTCCCAGCTTAGAACCGGAGCCAAAGGAAAAGAGAGAAACACCATTTCCTGCGCTGGAAGCTGCTCTCGGACTGGGGCTAGGCAGCTGGATGGTCCCGCTCAGGCCCCAAGCAGAGTGCGCTGGATGGAAATAGCCCTCTGGGACCCCCCCCATTGCTGGCCTATGTGGAGCTGGTGTAAGAGCCCAGCTCCCAGTGTAGGTCATGGGTTGGGGCATAGCTGGAGCACCCTGCGCTGTGGTTATTCTCTGTCCACCAGGGCCCATAGGGGGCCGATTGGGGGTGTGGCCAAAGCACCCCGCTATTTCTATTCTCTGCTCCCCAGGATCCATGGGGGGGGGGGCTCAGGAACGCGGGGGGAGTGCACCGCGCTGTGGCTATTCTCTGCCCACCAGGCCCCCTGAGGAGCAAACAGGAAATGAGAGCAGCCTCAGAGCTAACTTACTGCTCGAGCAGCCCCGAGGCTGCTCTGACTTTACAATGCAGGCCAGGCAGGGCCCTGCACAGGAAGCATATGGGGAGGACAGAGCTGGCTTAAAGCCATTGTAAACCACCTTCCCTGTCTCAAGTGAGAATAACAGCCCCAGCCCCCTGGGATGTGCCAGCCAATCGGGAAAGAGCAGCCAGCACCAGCTGTTTCAGAGGATGATTGATAGAGTCAAAGCGGTTAAGGCCAGAAGGGACCGTTAGACCATCTAATCTGACTCTGCAAGCCCTTCGGTGTCACTCGATACCGCTGTATCAAGCCCTAGACTTCGGTGTTTCAGTCTTCAGGAGGCTAACCTGTTGTGAGCCCCACTCAGATCTAGCCGGGGGGGAAATACCCTTTCCCTGGCTGCCTACATAGCTGTTGTTGTTATTTATTATGTGAATTACGGTAGTGCCAAAAAACCCCAGTCACGGACAAGGACCCCTTTGTGCTAGGGCTGTACATTTTTATTGCTATTAAGTGTATTACGGTAGCTCTCAGGCACCCTACTCATGGATCAGAACCCCATTGTGCTAGGGGGCTGTACATTTTATTGCAGTGTATTACGGAAGCACCCCCAGTCATGGAGCAAGACCCCATTGTACTAGGTGTTGTACAGTTGTGTTGCTATTAGGTGTATTACGGTAGCGCCTAGGCGCCCCAGTCTTGGACCAGGATCCTGTGGCGCCAGGCGCTGTACATTTCTATTGCTGTCAGGGGCTGTACAAACACAGAACAAAAAGCCAGTCCCTGCCCCAAGAAACTGACACGCTGCCTTCTCATTTCCTCTCCCCCTGCTGTCGGGGGTCCCTGCTGTGAGCTGCCGGGCGAGCGCTCCCCCCTCTCTCGTCTCTTTCAGATTACTCTTCTGCTGCTGGTTCCCCTGGATGCTGCGTGCAGAGATGCAGTCCTAAGACCTCGGCGCGCGCCTCTCCCGTCCTCCGCTCTGTCCTCCGTTCTCCAACTAACCGAAAGACTGCTCTCCTCGTTGGGCTCTCATCTCCCCCCCGCCCCCGCCCGAGTCGCAGTTCTAGTGAACCCCAGTGCCTTGGTACCATTGAACGTCGCCCCCTGTAGTCCGCGAGAAAGGCTGCACTAACCCCCCCCCACCCCACCGCGCGTGTGCACCCCACACCCCGGGTAGACGTGACATGGGCTCGGAAGCTCCCCTCGTTGATTTCTCCCCGACCCCCCTCCGGGGCGCAGTGGCATGAACACAAAACCTCTTTGGTACAGATTTCCCTCTGCGGTTTGATTGCTCTGAGCCTGACGCTCGGGGTAAGGCCGATCCGGGATCCCCAGAACCTGGCCCTTTGAGTTGCTCCCCAACTAAACTTAATCTAACCTGGCCTCTCTCTTCATCTCTGTAGCAGCGTGGACAGGGTCAGGTTATAACACTCCGGGTGTGGAAGTAATGATCCTCCCCAGCTTAAGCCGCCTTTTTCTCTGGGAATCATGCAATGCTCACCTTCCAGGATCAATGCTATTCGATTGCTCAGTTCCTTCCAGGGAGGAGATCTGGCTTATAGAAACCGGTCTCATGTTGGACCTTAAAGAGCAGTGAGATTTGGGGGGACCTTCCTCTCTGGAAGTAGTGCGGGCCCCCTTCTGAGAAAGCCCCTGTCCCCCGGGATTCACTCTGGGGCCCACTGTTCAGTTACCAGGGGGAAAATCAGTGCATGAATGTATTTCTAAGGTAGATCAGCGCTTACAGAGATTGCCAAGCATTCCCCTTGAGACACAACTGCTCCAAGGACCACCTGATGTTGGCTTCAAAGGTTGGAGCAGCTTGTACCGGGGTCGGGGGCCTCTTAACACGGCGGTTGTCTGGTGCTCCTCCATCCCTCTTTCATTCTCATCGATTCGTTCCCCTCGGCGCGATCGCTCTTTATTCGCAGGCAAACCTGCCGGGCTTTTTTCCTTTTGAGCTGTTTAGAAAAAATATATATTTTTAAAAGAAAATGACCCTTAATAACTATCTTAAAAGAAAAATTAGCCGTGGATGGCATGTTGATGTTCCCCACCGAGCCAAAGGTCTGTCTAAACGTGAACGTTGTCCTGTTTAACACTCCCGGTTAGAGCAGTCCAGTCCCAGTCCAGTTAAAGCAGTACTGTGGATTTATACTGGTATCAAGGTGCTTATATCAGTCTAGCGGAGAGAAAGGGGAATAAACTATACTGGCTACGAGACACCTTTATCCTGGTATAACTAAACTCTACACAGTGTAACGGTATCAGTTAAAAAAACCACCTCTAGTCCACACGCTTGTGCCAGCACAAAATCCGTGTGTGGAACTGGTGTAAGGGAATGAGGTGCCCAGTTCTCTCCCAGTGACAACCCCAGCCTTGGTAAATAGCCAGCTTTGATCCAGTATAACCATGCAGTGTATAAAGGTGCCTCATCCTGCGACAGCTTTTTCCCCTTTCCATGTGGGAATAGCTATCCTGGTGTAAGCACACTTATCCTGGTAAAACTGCGTCCACACTAGAGGGGAGTTGTACCGCGTTAGCTGGTCCGGTCTAGTGAAAGGGGTACAGCGCTTGGGGGCAGGTCTCGGGAATGCTGGGAAGCCGGAGGCATTTGGGATGTTGACAACCGCCTCCGAGTGGCTGCTTTTGTGAATGGCGTCGAGCTCCCTGTCTGAGTGGCTGGGCTCGGCTACGGGCAGGAAAAGGTACCGCGGCCTGCTCTCGTCGGGGGAGAGCTACCGATAGTTGGCTGGGTACTGCCCAAGACAGGGCGTGGGTCATTGCTAGAAACCAGGAACAGCTGCATAGAGTCTATCCCTCCACCCATCCATCCCACTGAATCCTTGGATCCATCCGCCTTATCCCTCCACCCATCCTTCCTGATCCCTCTATCCTCAGATCTTTCCATCCATTTTCTCCCTCCATCTCTCCGTTCTTCTCCCTCTATCCTCAGATCCATCCATTCTTATCCTTCCCTCCATCCCCCACCGCTGCTGCCATGTCCCCTAATGTCACAAACTAGGAAAGCGGGAGAAAACGACTGGTCAACCTGCTTTCTCTGGGGTGTCCTGTTAGTAAGCAGAGGTAGCCTGGTCCAGTGGTTAGAGGTGGGGAAGCCAGGACTCCTGGGTTCTATTCCTGACACTGGGAAAGGAACCTTGGGAATAGGAAGCCAGGGCTGGCCCCTAAAGCTGCCCCCCACTCGCATCGCCATCCATATCAGCTGTTATGAGTACTAAACACACGCATCGCCTCATCCTCTCAGCTTCCTCTCTAGCCCAATAAAAAGACCCCCTCGCTTTCTCATTTTCTTTTTACTAGCAATAAAAAAACCCCTGCAATTGCTCAGCTTCACCCTAGTCACGAGGGGGTATCCTAGGCCTTCCCCCGTTTCATCCAGACCCCGAGTCACCCCGGCCGGGCCTGTGTTTCCGATGCTAACCGTCATCGGGGACCGCTGTCCAAATGCTAACCTGGCCCCAGTCCGGCTCGGACTCCTTTGCAGCGGTCCCCGCCATGGCCTCAGTGTTTGTATAATAGAAATCACACGTTGGATGGAGTTTCTTTAACACTATTTTTAAAATTTGTAACCCATTCTCCTTGTAAATTGTTTAGCGAGTGGCTTGTTACTCCCGCTGATGATCTCGCTGTTAACTTTGCATGCCTTGTCCCTTTCCCCGTCCATCCAGGATCTCTGGAAAACTCAGCATGAGAAGAAATCAGTATGCCTATTGCTTATCTGTCATTAATAAAGAGTGTTTCTATGTGCATTGTGTAACAGGTCTCTGGCTTTAGGGTGACCAGACAGCAAGTGTGAAAAATCGGGACAGGGGGTGGGGGGGTAATCGGAGCCTATATAAGAAAAAGACCCAAAATCGGGACTGTCCCTATAAAATGGCGTAGGCGTCTGCTAATTGAAAACGTGCTGAAATGCAAGTACAGAGCAGGCCTTTGGGCTCCATATTATTAAAGCTAAGTGTGAACAAGAGGGATTAATA